GTATTATTGTTTTAGATATTCAAGATATTTAAATTCCATTATACTCGTAGCTTAAACGTAGAATATTTTTAATTTTTAAGTTTTTCCAATGAGTTTAAAACAAATGAAGGTTGGATTGAAGCTGCAGGAAAATCGATAGATTGGTTTTCTTATTACTATTTCTGACTTTGTTTCAATTTCCATAGTAAATGCAGTTCAAAAAATAAATAAAATAAAATAGGCTTTATTTTACATGTGCTTGCAAAATAAATTAGAAACAATTATAGAAAATTACATAAATCCTTCATAAAAAAACAACATAATTTAGTTTATTCAATTCGTTGATGGTTCGAGTTACTCTTGACAGTGACAGCTTCACCAACCCGTGGTAACGTATAATGGAAAATTGACACTGACGATGATCGCCATATTTTTTATATTATTCTTATAAAAATGACACTGGACCAAGCCTAATGGCCACCATTAAGAAAATAATAATAATTTATATTAATATATTAATTTAATAATACACCAGTAGGTACCAGTCTAGATATAGTATGAAAAATGTAATATTTTTTTAAATATTAAAAACAGCCACATGGTTTCCAACTATCGATTAGGTAGGACCACATCCCTCGTTGAGTAGCGTCAGTTTGCCACATGGTTTCCAACTATCGATTAGGTAGGACCACATCCCTCGTTGAGTAGCGTCAGTTTAAGGTTTCCATCCGCGCCCACCGGTGCTGCTAGCGGTTTTATTTCAATACTCACGACCCTGCAAGTTTGTGCGGGCACGTAGCCGCCGCGGTTGCGGGCACGAAACCGTTGCGATTGCGGAACGGACCGCGAAGTTAGTGGGAGTTAATTGCAAGTCGCGCAGTCAATAGAGAATTCACCCTGCGTACGCCTGCACCACATTGCGCCACGGCAGCCAAACGCGCAGGTCATCGCGTCCTGCGCGGTTCTACTAGTACCCCGCCGCGGCAACCGCGAGCAACCGTCACCACTACAGGCGTAAAACGCGCCGTGAAATGTGCTACCAATTTTACATACTTAACTGTTACATTCTACAGATGCCGTGGTCCCGACAGACGCGGGTGAAAACCGCTCCATGAGTTCTTAGTGTAACGAAAAATGAGTTTCAGCGCCATCTAACGTGTAATAGTTAGCTATTATATACTAGTAGCATTTTTACTAAAACGCCACCTGATGGTGAATGGCTGAACCAGGATGAAAAAAATACTAAAATATTGTAATATAACTCTTATTCAAGTGACTGGAAGTTTAATTTTGTTAAATTTTAAAATTGTGTTACGTCGTTTTCACGTTTTAAGCCCTACCCAATCAAAATCTTTAAGTGGCGACATCGGCACCCGATCTTACATAGCGTCATTGCACATCTCCCCTTTTTTTCTATATCTATGAGTGTAACCGAGAGAATCTATATTAAATAATAATTGTAACTTTTTCATTGAAAAGAAGCGACCTCAATAGTTTGCTTATCGGGTCTTTTCGATTTCCATGGGATCCCCGCATCAGATCCTGACTATTTGGTGACAATGAGACAGTTACAAACTGCTTTGTGCATTTTATTCTTTTCTTTCTGGTTGTCGATGGTGATTTGTTGATTACACGTAACACGGTCAAGTGAAAGTCGACTTTTATTTGCGGAAAATATTTTTTAAATTTGTAAAAACCGAAACGAACCCGGAACATCATCGTCGACATCAAGGACCTCGGGAGTATACCCTTTCAAACAAAAAAAGACTTCAAGATCGGTCCACAATTGTAGGAGTAATCGGAAAACGTGCACAAAACATACATGCAGCCGAACGTATAACCTCCTCCGTTTTTCTTTTAAGTCAGTTAAAAATCGTAAGCGACCTCACTTATTATTGCAACCGACATCATGTATCACAATTTCGTCGTTTACTATAAACAAAGTGACAAAAAACGCGTGGCATCTTGTTGCATATTTTAAATCACAAGTGTTACTTTAACGCTTGAAAGCCTCAAAAATCTTTACTTAGAGATAGCAAAAATATAGTAAGCCCCAAAAAGGCTAAGCAGAAAAGCATAAATAAAAAAGCTATACAAGGCGCAGTTTATCTTACCGTGTATCGTGAAAAACTCTCCACGTTCTTCAAAATCGTGATAACCGGCAAATACTACACGTCTTTCCGAAAACTCATATTTATGCAACATTTCGTTGACCACCTGGGCTTCACTTTTAATGTTTAAGATAATTAGATGGGCTAACATCCATTGTTTTCAAAAAAATTTGCTGTTACACAATTAGATACGAAATTCATTATTATATATTAAGTCAATGTGTGTATCACATTATATGTAAAAATATAAAAAACCCTCTCCTGTAAAATTTGTTTTTGTCGCTTACACTAAATCGGCGGTAATGGTTCGATATACTTACCTACATCCATTAACATCAGCTATTTTATTTTGACTTGAGATATCAGTTTTTTATCATGTACCAAAAGTGACAAAATAAAAAGTTAAATGCTAAATTATTTCGGATAAATTACATAAAAAGTGGGCTTACATATATATGTGTAAATCAAAAACTAGGACGACAAGATTCAACAACTTCATCCTTAACGAGTGTTTCGGGATTCTTTTCACAAATGAAAATTAATGTTTTGTTGCACTCCATCTCAAACAATTCAACCGATTCCAACAGACTACCACATGACTGGTAAACACCATTATGGAAATGACTCTGCGCGAATTTGGCGTAGCCTGCTTCTTCTACAGTTTGTCCTGTGAAAATTATCAATGTTTAAGGTGAGTCACGGGAGGAGAAGCGGGGAAAACTGTTTGCTAGATCAAATGGTTTATAGGTATTGTTAGATTGCAATCATGACCAGGTCGTATTTTGCATACTACATTGTATATTGTATCATACTCCAACAAATATGGTTATTGAAATGTAATACTTTTACTAACTGTTACAAACAATTTGTCATACGTTTTCACAATAAATTCAAGTGTTATACTTAAAGTTGTTATTGATCTATTCTATTTCCTTAATGGCGGCCACTATTTCTTTTTTTTTAGTTTATTAAGGCTTTGGCAAAGCCATCAGCCTAAACATGATGTTTAATTATGTTTCTGTAAATATGGCCGCCACAAAGAGGATAGGCAATTTGAGGCGGCGTGCTTGGATTGACTAGGGATTCCTTAAAACGGGCCGATACGGGTATTTTAGTTCGAGATTCGTATAATTTCGCGTTTTAATCTTCGATTAAGGCACAATAGCACTATCCTATTCCACTTTAAACTAGATTTCACAAAATAATTGAAAGTCAAAATAAAAACGACACTTTTCCTTCCAAAAGGTCCAGAGCGATGAATGGCGGCCACTAGGCTTGGGCCAGTGTGAGAAGTTTTTTTTAAGTTTGGGTTCACGGCGTCGGAATAAATCCATCAAGCCAAATCTTCAATTGAATTACAGATGACATTTTACTTTTATATCTGTGTTGCCAATTCATATTTCTTAATGCCATAGACTGTAGGCATCGCAACTATAGGCGTTGCTTGTAATCTGCCATCTGTTGTCATTTTTTGGTATTATTGTTGGTCTTAACCACTACCGCCAAAACAGCTATTCCTCGATGATGTTGGGTGGTTTTGGCGGCAAGAAATTTATATAAATAAGCGAAGAATCTTTTGTAACGGGTCTTTTTACTTTTGTACTCTTACTGAAGAAATAAACCATCTCAAGCGAATTACGTTTTATTTAATACTATGGGAATGAAATAAAATAAGGTTTATTTGTATTGCTTATTTTCAAATAACGGTCTTACAAAAAATACATTACAGTATTTATATATACAGATTTTTTTTTAATGGGATACTATGACGAAATCCGAAACCAAAGAAGATACAAGGAAATTGTCTTACGAACCATTAAATCTTTTTTGTGAAAACAATTTTGGTATAATTATTAAAACAAAGATCGAACACTCAGAAAAAAATCCTTCGATCCGGCCGGATTCGAACCGACATCTTCTAGCATACCGTGCCATACGTTATACCAACTAAGCCACGTATTTTCTACTAAACTAAATTAAACTACGTTATTATTCATTTTGTATGAAAAAAACTACTCTTAACTTTTAGTTGTATACCGAACGTACAAAATCCTGGCATTGACGCTCTATCGACAGACAAATGAGATGATTTAAAACCTGCAGATTTGACTTGTGGCCCTGTTCGTGTGACGATCGCGCGCATTATGCGATCCTTGCGTTAGATGTTATTACAGAGGCGCGCGCAGCGCTAATGCAGCGCATTGTCAGTCTTTGACATGTACACAAGTCAGTATCATAATGTACACTTTAAGAGTTCTCATGCCTAAAAAGTTCTGACGTTGGCTCCGCCCAAATTTGTGAAACAAATATATACCTGAAGTTCGCGTGACATGCGACAGGAGATGTTGAATTTTGCGCATTAAAGTACCAAATTCGTTTTAGCGGAATAACTCTAAAACTAAACTAAATTAAAAAAAAATCCCTAGTGACAGTTGTCGATCATGCATAAATAATTAATTATCTAATTTTTGTCCTAATAACCTGTAGCATTTCGAGGATAAATCGAAAAAATGTGAAAATTAGAGGTCATTTGGTGATTTTTATCTATCGAGGAAATTTTATTGTTTTATGTTTGTGATTAATGTCTATGCTTGAATATATCGTGTAGTTACTAATACAATATTTTATTTTTAACTTTAAAGTGGATATATCCCTCTAAAATCAAATCGAAGATTAGGAATTTTTCCTCTGCTCCCTCTTAAGGTTTGGTATTGTGAAAGCACCAGAAAAACATAAATTAAAAAGCTATAAAAGGCGCGGTTTATCTTACCGTGTACCGTTAAAAACTCTCCACGTTCTTCAAAATCGTGATAACCGGCAAATACCACACGTCTTTCCAATAACTCATATTTTTGTAACATTTCATTAACCACCTGGGCTTCAGTTTCACTGTTTAAGATAATTAGATGGGCTCCTTCGGCTTCACAAGCCATATAAGCTCGCGTCCAATTTCGACTAACTGAATGTACCTTATAGCAACTGCCTGTTCTAGAAACGTAGTCTAAATATTCTGTAATATAAATCTGAACATTAAATTAATATTTGTAGTATACTTAGAACAGGTCTCGTAAATAGCAAATTAATACATACGGTCATCTGTAGTTCCACAATTGTTGTTCATGCTTTTAACCGTGCTAGCTTTCTTATAGCAGATATAAGGATACGTGTCTTTGCAGTTTACGTCAGTGAAACCGCCACTCGCTCGCATAACAATGCAGTTTTCCGAATCGTTCCGGTTATTGGGTTCCGTTTGTTCCCATTTGTGAGTGATTTTACTTAGAGGTATGCCTGACGTTAAAAAAATACATACTCGAATTTAAAGTAAGTAAATAAATTTAAATTATTTAGTTCTAATTATTTACACAAAATCAAACACAAAGAATAATTCCTTCGATCTGACAGGCAGGGCTCGAAACTGTATCTGTGCTGTACAGTAACAGGGCGACCGCTCTCAATGACAGATCGAGTCAGCAGACCATACGAATTTTTCTATGCCTTTGTTACTTAATGTGTTTTTGGCTTTTAATGGTTTTTTTTGCTGTAGCGCGGCCTGTGAGAAATCTATAAAAGTGTAATCTTCACTCAAACAAGTACCTTTACAGCTACCAAAGATTGACAAGACCTCTAGTTGAAGAAACCGTGTTCAGGATAGCGTTTCCGCATGATAGCGAGGAAATCATCCACCCTAGCCTTATCAGCACACTGAACGCGTTATTATATACGTATACACCTTCTTGGCAATTATTGTATACATATATTTATTTGATTTTCTTCCTTTTTAACGGACTTCAAAAAAAGGAGGAGGTTCTCAATTCGACTATGTTTTTTTTGTATGTATATTACGCGATAACTGGTATTGAACAATGAACCGATTTTCATGATTTTTTTTGTTGGAAAGTGAGTACCTCCATAGTGGTTCCATTTCATTTTGAAGAAAATCATCGTGTGGCATCAGTGGCTGATCACGCATGAATATTCATTTTTATAAATGGCGCCTAAATTTTACTTAAGAGCAATTATTTTAATTGTTGGGTTTGCTATTCTCCAATTCAAGGCGTTTTTCTCTCTCAATACACTTTGAGTAGTGAGATCCGATTTTTATTATCTCCTGTGTCAAATCTCGTATAGTGAGGAACTAGGGTATATTTCAATAAAACTTAGCAAATAGACGTTATTCCACGTACTTTTGAGGTCAGTTTTTTTAGTATTGAGTACGAGTTGTTTTCATGTTTTTTTCTTAGTTTTTTCTCACTATTATGTCACGTTGCTATGTGTGCTTGTGAAAAGTCAATAAACGTATTCTATCTATCTATCCACATATCTACCTAAACTTCAGAGTGCTTTAAGCCCTCCGTGTACCACTAAACCACAAGTAGCACTTCTGGAACGATTGACAGGAGGTTTTAGTATAACTAGGTTCTTGTGGACCCAGAATTGAAGATGGATTGTGCTAATTATTTATGCAATGACTTTAATTTTAGATTTTCGTAATTTGCGATGGTTAAAATAAACGCTGCTGAGGAAAAACAGTAACGGTTTTTTTTTTTTATATACAGAACAGGCTGACGGTTGTTGACAGATTAATTTGATAGAAAGATGATGATAACGGCGTGTACAGAAGGTACAGCTTACCTACTTAACAAATGTCGTGTCTATCCATCTACTTTCTTATTTATCCTGGGATATCAAGTATTAAACTGTGAAGTACTAGTAAACATTTTATGGTAATACGTGTCGCCACAATATAAACTATCGGTAAAATAGTTCTCAATCGGGTATTGTTATTTCCTGGTAGCTATAGCCACTTTAGCTACCAGTGACAGTTGAGTTTCAGTCATCTGACGTGGGCACATGACATGATGGTTGTTGGCAGAGTTGCTATATTATGGAAATAACGAGGGAATTTGATGGTCAATGCATAAAGCGCGCACAAGACAAGAAAGAGTTTTTGGGAGAGCTACTTGAAAAGTGAAGAAGCGTAGTCGTTGCCTGTGAATTTGCCGCGTGATATTTAAAATCCGTTTCAGTTGGCCGAAGGGTTACCAAGACGTATTGCCACACAAAGGTCCCGGGTATGTGCGTTATTTACATCGCGTATATAACCAGAAACAGATACGAAATAAGGGTTATCGATCTCTGGCTCTCATCAGGCAAATTGGCCTTATATCACTTTTAAATATCAACTCTCGTTTGTACTGAAATCACAAATTAGAAAGCTGAAATAGTACAGCGCCAACAACTGACCTATATGTACGACTCCGTATATTCTAAAAAAAATCTATATTGTAATAAACATCTAATTATGAGGGGCTGTTCCATTCGGTGGTGTGGAAAAAAACACCAAAACATATATTTACAAAATAAACGGAATAACATTTTGTCGGTAATTAAATATCAAATATGTAATTTTTCAATTTTCGTCCATTATAGCAAAGCTCAAGTTAGGGCGCGTTCCCACTATGTCGTGACGTTTTATTTATCCTTGGACGACTGTCGCGCTAGCCTGTTCCCATATCACGACTATCTGACGTGGTTGTGTCGTGGACAATTATTTTATCTTTGAACGACCGTCGTCTCTAGCTGTTCCTACTATCGTGACGACAATTTATCGTTTGACGGCAGCCGCCTTGTCGTTTGCACGACAGAGTCGTTTGATGCACTGCAGTTGCTTCTATGTTCTTTGGAAGGCAGTAGTGATGTGAAAGATGAAATTATAATAATGTATTACTTTTTAAAAAGGCGGAATAGGAAGCAAATGAAGAAAAGAAAGTTTTGGGTACATCCAATGTTATTAAAAAGAATTCCATTAGGATTATGTCAAACGTTTATAGATGCACTGAAATGTGACGAGAGAAAATTTTGGGACTATTTAAAAAATTTAATATTTTGTAATAATATATATAATTAAATTTGAATGAAACTCAATTCACGACAAATATTTAGTCGTAAATAGTTTTTGTCTTCGATTTTGGGCATTAATGGGTTTTAACCTGATTTAAACCCGGTGTTAAAAAGCGCCGGGCTAAAACCCTGGCTCATCTCGTCGTCACGTTTTTATCGTGACGTTTCATGTATCGTCAGACGACTGTCGTTCTAACTCTTCCCATTAACACAACAGTCTGTCCTCGTAACGATAAAGAAATCGTGATCGACAGTTAATCGTGTCGTTCTATATGTGAACAACTTCATTTATATATACAAGCCTCGACACTGTAAACAGCACGACTACCTGTCGTCACGACACAGTGAGAACGCGCCCTTAAACTGGTCGATTTGAAGTGAAAGAATTGACGACACCCGTCAATTGTTTCGAATTCGGGCTGGCCAATCGGAGCGCAGTTGTCACCTAATAATTTGGCAGATTAGTTTTCAAACACATTAAATGACATTTCGTCTCTATTTCTGGCTATATACTGGATGGTTATTTATTTATTTATTTGACATTCTGGAGAAATGTTCACAAGACTATTTTATTCTTTATTTGCCAATAATTTTAGAAGTAGTTTTTTCACTGTTGTGAAAACTTTGACAGTCTATCAAAATTAATCGAAAACATAATTACATTATTAAATAATTATTATCTTACCTTCTACGGAACGGTAGTTGCCTTTGGAAAACATGGAATGGATACCAGTGAATATACCAACATGATTTGTTCTACACAGATTGATCATGTTTGTCATTATAATTGCCATTTTGTAATTTATAGGAGAAGCTAGTATGGCATCTGTGAAAAATGTATATGAAATTAAAATCCTAAAATTCAGACTTAATATTATTGTTGTAAATTTATTGTTTTATCACTATCAGCTCTAATTTCCAATTTTTTTATGTCAATCTTTACACGAACTAAATACAATTGGTTAGTATTGTTTTTTACAAATTAAGGTTCAGTAGCAGTAGAACTCTTTCTGAAAAAGGGAGTGTCCCTCAAATCTCTGCGATATAAAGCTCTGAGTGGCACTGCAACAAATATGGACAGGCGTGTTGCTTACCACTAGTCACACTACTTGCCCATCCCGCCACTTGGTATCATAAAAAAGTTTTATTTGTTACTTACGGTACTTCGAGAAGAAGTTGGTGCACAACAAAAACAAATACGATTATTTACCTTCAAAATAACATCTTAGCCAGGCATCGTGCCAATTGACTGGTATTTCATGGTATTTTATAAAACCCTCAACATCCTCATTGTATAAGTAATCATTTCGGAAAAATAGTCCTTCGCTGAGTACTGAAAAAGAAATGTTTATATTTTGAACAGCGTTGAGCTGTTCAAAATGAATGTATGTAAAAAATAGACGCATATTCTACTATCGATAGAGCTTGTTTATAAAATGAACTTTTCGAAATTATTTCGGGTCCCGGCTTTCGGTGCAGTGTCCCTGAAGTGAACTCCGTGACACATTAAATTATATTTTTATTTTTTTTACATCAACTTTTAATTTTTATTTTATTTTTTATTTGGAGTGGATAGCTAATGCAATACATATTATATTAATAGCGTAGAGCGCCATGTGAAGTACTACCACGGCACCCTTTTCTGCCGCCAAGCAATGATGTAAGCATTACTGCGTTCCGGTTTTGTAGGGTAAGGGTGCTGATGAAATTACAGGCACATGGAACTTGTTAAAAGTTTATTTTTGGTAAATTTATTGTTTCGTAAACAGCCTTAGAACAAGAGTTGTTTTTTATGACGTTAGTAATACGCCTATATTGCGAGATTGTTAGTATTTTACAAATAATCCTGTTTAAAAGGAAAAATAAAATAAAATCTTACCGCTTGGTGAATAAATAAATAAAAGTTGTAAAATAAACAACGGCTTCATGTTCCTTCCCAAGTTCGGGTGATAATAAAACATGTATCTAAAGAAAAATGTTTTATAAATACTACCTATAAAGAAAAAAGAGATTTAAATTGAAAAAGTTCATATAATGTAATAGTAATGCCGATTTCATGCTGAACAAGACTATTAACGTCGCGTCGGTATGGAGAAAATGTCAGCGGCGGCCAACGATATCTACGTACTAGTGTATTAAATACGGCGCGGGCGGCGTTCCTAACACACACTGTATTTGACTGATATGCGGTTCCGGCACAACTTTTATTTATTTTTTTAGTTGGTTTTCTCTTTAAAAATTAATTTACATCGGTGCGTTGCTCACATTTCGCTATTAGACTAAACATTAAATTGAAGTTTTAAATTATTCACATTAATTCGGTAAGTAATGTTGTGGTTTTTTATTTATTCGTGTATTCATAATATTTGATAATTGCGAAATACTAAGGAAATTTTCACACCATCCATCTCGTTTTCCCTAGAAAGACGCCTGGTAAATAATAATAATAATTATTATTGTTATTCTGACGGAATTAGACGCTCTGGATAGACGAGTCCGCACCACGATGATCCCTCACCGAATGCATCAACTGAGATCGTCGGTTATGAGATTGTATGTCCCGCTGAAGTGTGGCGGTAAAGGCCTATTAAGTGTCAAAACCATGCACAACCGCGAGATATGCAATCTTAGAAACTACTTTTTGACGATGACGGGTGACGTAATTCGTGGGGAGGTTGTCACATTTGATAAAGAGCTAACTCCCTTATCGTTGGCCAAAGAGTATTGGCGAGACCCGGTGGTGTTTAGCACCTCTGACCACGAGTCCGTATAGAAAGAGACGGAGCTCCATGAGAGGTTCTTCGAGGCATTTCACGAGTCCTTTATGGACCGTAATGCCTACCTACACTGGCTGCGTTTCGGGGACCTATTTGGGGAAACGAAGGTTTTGTCTGTGCAATACAGGATCAGGTTATCAACACGCGGATTTATCGGAAATACATCCTAAAGGACGGTACAGTAGACATTTGTCGGGCATGTGGCCGTCCTTACTTAGACATGTTGTTTCAGGTTGTTCCGCTCTTGCTAACACTGAGTAATTGCACAGACACAACCAGGCAGCCAAAATATTAAACCAAGTGCTCGCTCTGAAGCACGGACTCGTGCAACAGAAGTTGCCATATTACAAGTATTCACCGGAGCCAGTAGTCGAAGATGATCGCACCAAAATTTATTGAGATCGATCCATTATCATGGACAGGACTATTCTTGCGAATAAGCCTGATATTGTGTGATATTGGATCGATCGCGGTCGAGGGTATTTCTTGTGGACGTTACCATCCCGCATGACGAGGGTCTCGTGAAAGCCGAAACCGGGAAACGCCGGAAATATCTCGACCTGGCGCACGAGATCACCGACATGTGGGGTGTGGCCTCCACTGAAATAATTCCAATTGTTTTGTCCGCAAATGGGTTCATTTCAGTCAGCCTTTTTAACAGCTTGAGGCGGTTGGGTTTCTGTGGCGTGTCGCTTCCAGCACAAATGTAAAAGACGGTCCTGCTCGATATGGCACGTATAGTTCGCCGGTTCTTAAACCTGAGTCTCTGACCCCGACCGACTGTTCCATTGCCGGGAAATACCGCCTCTCCCATTTGAAAATTCAAAATTAAAATTTAGGCCTTGGGAGAGGCGCGAGTCTAAAATAAATATAATAATAATTCATTTATTTCAAGTCACTTGGATCCATAGTGTTACTTATAATCTCACTTAAAAATTAATGTTAGTAATAATTACATTTTACTCAATAAAAATATAAATACAGTTCAATTATTATAGAACGATTTTGCACAAATTTAATAAACAAGTATGTGATTACAGAATGAAATAGTAAATTAAATTATTAGGGATAAATTAAATATATAAAAATACAAATTCTATGACTACCTTTATCCAAGACGTCTGTATACGACAATTAAATCTAGAGGCAATCATCCTCAGGACACCATTTTCACTGTACCGCAGGCGATGCATCAGCGATGCCGATTTTTTACGGATTATTGCGTTAAAACCGTTCGTTCGGGCATCGGCAAACATGCCTAATGCATTGCAGCACCGCGCTATATGCAATAGTATCCTGAAGATATTATTGTGTTGCAGCCGTAGAGCGCTGAAGGCGCGACGCGTGTAACTCACCCACAGACGACTCGAGTAGAACGTTTGACACTTCCACATTGAAAACTTCATTACTACATCGAGCGAATCTGCGAGTGAGTATATTGCCTCTCACCGCCAGCGCTCTACGCTCTCTCTCCATATCCCCCCTTCAGATCCCCGTCTCAATATGTCCCAAATACTTAAACCTATGTACAACATTGAGAGCTACCCCATCAAGCACAACAGGTGATACATGGCTTGGAGTACGTTTACCTGCATTAAGTATGTATATTTCGCTCTTCTTCGCATTGTATTTCAAACCATGAACCCTCACGTATGACTTACAATAGGATAGCAGCTTCCTCAGAACACTTATCGAGGG